TCAACAGACTTGTTTAAAGTAATCAAATCGTATGTTCTATGGCCATAAAATGACCTTTTCAGCACATACAATCAATCATTCAGTCAAGTGCTGACTAACATTTTCATACTAATTCCGTTATTTGCCGATCATGACAAAAACAAGTGCATGACCGGTCGACAGGGGATGCAATCCTCCATGGCAGCTAGTTGATCCCACCTCTGATGTTTTAGAGGCCCTCGTTTGTTATGCTCTTGATTTGTATTGTTAAATGTATTTTTGATCTTGTATATATTATTCGTTATCTCCATTTACCTGGTATGCTGGTGTTAGAGTCAACATACATTGGATGCATATATATTCTATGCTTGCATATGATTTATTTGTATTTTATTATACATTGTATATTTTTTTCACCAATTGTAAAAAGAACTAGACCGTTTATAATTATGTTTAAAAATAGACATTAACATAATGCAACTTCACAAAGTGTTGAAAAAAAGTGTTGAGCTCGCACTGTACATTGCAGCTATTACAAACTACGAGTGTTTTGAGTTTTCTTATTAAACTCTCTAGCCATTTCTATGAAAGTATGATAGAGATTTTAATTTTCTTCAAACTACATCATAGGTTTAAAAGAGATTTTAAAATTCAAAAACTTACCGTTTGTAATTTTTTCAGTATAAAATATCACCACAAATATAGACAATATTTAAATGAACGCCTAATTCCATACAGTACACAACTAATTGCCTCAGGCTATAACAAACAATACAATCATTGAAATTTATAAAAATAATTGATGGGAAGATAAATCCATTCATAAAAAGATAATATTATTTTTCTGAATGAAAAATAACTGCCTCCTTTACGCTTGTCCATCATAAAAAAATAATCACCACTGAAAAGCGACATTAAAAATATCTACGACAATTAGTGGATTAAAAGTAAAGGTGATTTTTAGAATAGGTGTTTAAGGAACACAACCCAAATTAAAAATAAACCTGGAATTTTTATACACTAAACGGAACAATGACTAGCAATAGTAACTAGTAAAGGAGGAGGACTGCGGTTTTCATCGTAATTTATCAAATTGACCAATGATTTACACTTTATCTAAATTGACACTCCCCGCTATTTAACTCAATCATACTTTTTCCAAATAGACACTCCCCGCTATTTAACTCAAAAAGCAGGACCAATTTACTTCCTAGATGCCTGAGCTACGATCAGAGTTGTGCAATATACGCATGATCAATATTGCATTGGTAGTCTACCCTGTACAGTGAACGTGAACTCATGACCGAAGTGCGTGTGAATCAATTTCAATGAATTCATATTGTCATTGGATGAACAAAAATACCGGTGGAAAGTACAAACTAGCTACTGTTTGCTTACTTGAGGCCATGGGGAAATTCTGAATGAGTCAAATTCTGACACTGCCATCGAAATATATCTGCGATTTTTGAAAATCGCTAGCTGCTGAACTTTTACTCGATCTGACACTCCTTTGTTTTTTTGTGCCAAATACATGTATATTCAAATAAAACAAAATGTTTTCTATCAAATGATTTTTTGAGAAATGAATGCAACTGCCTGTACATGTTTAATAAAATTTATCTTGTTTCAATGACTTAAAATATATTCAGATTCGAAAAGAACAAATATAGTTATTAATAAATAAAATGCTTAGCCTAGTATGATTTTTGTCCATCACTCCCTATTCTTTATACTGCATCTGAAATTATGAGTGACCTCACAATGAAATTTGAATTACAATAAATTTTTACAGGTTTTTTTTGCATTAATTTTATTGCTGGATAAGTCATGTGTAAATATTGTATTTTATTGTAACAAAAGATTTTCAGCTTAAATTGTGTAATTTGCACTCTAAAGAAATTTAATCAATTGAGTGAATTCAGCCAATTGTGCAGGTGGAAAATAATTATTCACGAATGAAATCCAGTTGCTGATAAATGCACGTACAACTAGTACTTTATAATAAAGTCCCCTTCAAAAGAAAATGTACGTGTACATTGAATGTGATTTACTTAATACGTATTTGGATAAAGTAACCATATCCGCTATTTTAATTTTTACAGGTCTGTATTGACGTCTTACGGGAAATTTACGGAAATACTCAGAACCGGAGTGATAGATATATATAGATGAGTTGCATTAAGTTCAGTTAATAATAAAGGCACCAGTATATGCCTCAAAAAATGAATGTCCACTGGATATATGTTAAATTAATGTCAGTATTAACAATCATGGCAATATACTGTAGATCACACCCTCTGACAAGGTGTCGAGGGTGTCATATTTTTGACCCTCCATTCCGTCCACTTGATTACGCTGAATACGAGGCGACAGAGCGGCTTGATACTAGCTCCATCTGCCCGTGGACCACTGTCATGACTGATGACGTAGAACGTGTCCCCCGGAAGCTACCGTCCACCACGTGCACCAGATCCTCGGTAGTGTTTGAACTGAATGGGACCCCTGTGGAATATGACTGTGAGTTAATAGAAGTTAGTGTACCGGTACTTAAGTACCGGCGATCTTTAGACTATTGGGAACGAATTGAGGAACCTGTATCTGTGGCGTGCACGGCCGTCCGGAAGCAGAGCTAACGTTACCACATCATAGGTTGTAATTTTATTGACAGTAGCACGGTTGTGAACTTTTGTTCATGTGCAAAAATATTTTTATGCTCTTAAAAATGGCAACATCCCCCAATCAATTTCAGACCGACTTCTGCTTCTTGCAGACAGTTTGTCTTTTGTGGGCACTGTGCAATTTACACTATAAATCTGTTATGATTTGTAGCGTTGTGAACATGGCATTATTAGTATCAACATAGGAAATCTTAGGGTACATATAGATTTTATTGATCTGACTTTTATTTGATTTTATAACCGTTTTCTCATTCAAGCATTTTTCTTTTTATATATACATAAAAGTTGAAATACGTAGTATTGTTTTCATAGTGTTTACATTAATTGAATTGTCATATGTGGTGTTGTTAAAAGTTTTTTGCTTTACTTATTTATTTTTGATTTTAAAATACATATATTTTATATTTCCATTTATATAGAGTGTTAATGAGCTGATTATTTCGTTATGTATGATTGTGAGACATTATTATTTGAATTGATTTTCGTATTTAAACATTATCGATGGGTATGACAAAAATATTCTGAAAATGCGGATATGGTCAATTTTATCGTAAAGAAGTAATGCATTTTGATGAAGTACCAACAAAATTACTGTTATACATATTAGATTTATGATTTAGACTATTGTTTAAAAACTTTTTACTATGTTGCTTTATAATGTTTGTGCCTTTTGAAACCAGAGCATATCAAGATTTCTATTTGTAATTGTACAATGTATATCATTTTAAAAACATTTATATACTAGTAATTAATGCCAAGAAATGTTTTATGCTTAGTTTATTTTCATGTATATATGTTTGCTAATACGTGCTTATGAATTTAAATAAAATACAAAAAGTGGAGATTTACTTTTTTAAAATACAAAGTTGAAGAAAACTACTGTATATAGGGACTTTTATATGCATCACGGTCCCTTAATGTTTTGTTATTTGTATAAGTGTAATACCTGGTTAATTGTGATTGATCATCAGGTAAGTGTGTGTGAAATAAACACCTTCAGAGAACCAGGATGAAAAAGCCTCAAAAGCATATCAATAAGTACAGCGGCCAGATAAGAAACACAAATGAGAGAAGAAACAATGAAACCTCGAGAGAAAACAAAAGGGTGTGAGCAGAATGATAGGAACCTATGGGTTTTCAGGGTCAAAACAAATAAACTCGTTTTTTTTAAACAAATAATTTGTTAAGAAGAAAAATACTTTCGTCACGTATTTTAATGTCAAATGCAGGTACCATTAACCTTGAGTTTTAGTACGTTTTACGTTCTCTGTATAATGAAAATAAATGAAACAGTTTTAATCAATGAACCTTGATTATGTAAAAGATGAAGTAACAAAAAAAAAAAAAAAATATCAATCTCTTAAAAAATATGACAATAAAGTTAAAAGTTCTTGTGCTTTTATGATGAGGATGAATGAGAGTTCATGTGGTGTTCGGAGCTCTGTTCATAGCTCGTGAGGTCCGGGTTGGAATCCCATTAAACTTAATCCATATAACATAGGTCGTGACTTTGAACTCAAGGGCCTTTCGGATATCATACTTAAAGTGCAAGCTCCCTTTAGGAATTTGGCGACGGTGCGACAAAGACCTAGAGTGCCGAGTTTACATCTATAAGTGAAGCCTTCATCGGGATTTAGCGACCTCCCATATGCGAGAAAAATTCTTGCAAGAGACGCTAAATGACAATCAACGATCGATCAATGAATCAAAATGGACGTAAACTTTTACAACAAACTTTGGAATAAACTTTAAGAGCTTTACAAAACAGAATCACATTCAATGGAACAGATGTTATTCATCGAAATAATATCTTAATCATTAACAATTGTTTAATTATGAAACAAGAATATCAGCAGTTTCGTTTAAAGTCATCATTTCTTAGGTTATTTGGTCGATGCAATGACCTTGTATGCAAATACAATTTATCATTGAGTCAAATGCTAACTGACGTTTTCCATACTTATTATTCGTCTATTATTTACACACTGAATTAACGACTGAGTTTTACGTTATTTTCCGATCATGACAAGGAGCACACGGCGGGTGTGATGCCACCTCCAAAATTGTTTTAGGGGTCCGTGCTTAATTGCTCTGCTCTTATTTGTATTGTTTATTGGACTTTTAAGCTTGAAAACTGTTTTATATCTCCATATATTTCATCATAAATTCAGGAAAATTGTCAAAACTACTCCCATTTTTTTTAAGAAGAATCAAACAATTCCATCCTCTACAAAAATGTATAAAATAAAATGATTGAATCTTTAAAACAATCAATTCAATTTTTATCTTTACTATAATAAAAAAAAAGAGAAGTAAAGCTTTAGGTAAAAGTCTTTTTATTTGTGTATCTTCAATGTTGCTCAATATCAAATACCGCTCCATATTCGTCATCCCACTAGACCATTCCCATTATTATTACTGTTAGGATGAACCTGCGAAACAACAAGAATTTAAGGCCTCACCTATAATTATTAATATTAAAAATATTAAAAAAGTGTCTCCATCTGTTCTCAATTACTGTGCTTACTATGAACAAATCAACGGTTTTACGATGAATGATCGGTAGACCTTAAAGTATAATTTATCAACCTAAAAATGTGAATATTTCCAAAAAATGTACTAATTCCCTAATGACTGTGGAATGTTTTGATTAATTGCAATTCTAAAGCTCGAAATAAATGACTATCAATATATATCAAAGAATAAGTCAATTACATAGTTCAAGTGTTTCAATTACAATTAAATCAATTAATTGTTTTTCAAAATTGATCAATTAATTCTTATTCAATGTCAGACAGATATACCAACCGCTGATAAAAACGCAGCAAACTCTGCCTCCGTTACACTGTGGTCACCTGAAGTAAACAATTAATTACAAATAAACAACAACAACAACAAACAGTTAAGGGTTAGCAATTTATTCTATAAAAAAACTAATACGGATTTCCTTCTTTTATCAATTGTTAAAGCCAAAAATATATATAATAGATAAAAAATAAATTAAAAATACAAAAAGACGGTCGCAGCTATTGCATTTTTTCTGCAACAGCTGCTTCCGTTAATTCTAGTAATAACAAACAAAGAAAACATTTTATTGTTTAAATATAGATATAATATAAACCAACTTTTATTTGCGACGACTTTATTTCGCGATTTACAATGATAAACTACATCGCGACGATTAATTTTCGCGATTAAGCTTTTTTTCATTTGTTCTTAGACACAGAGACTTTAAGGACTGGTTCGCGGCGAGAAATATTCGCGAATATTAAAACATTCCCTGCTACAGCTTAGCAAATTCGTGACTATCATGTCAGGATTCACCAATAATTAATACTGAGGAAAGTGATTGTACTGGCCAGCATCAATGAGGTCTATAACAATGAAATCAAATTAGGTGTTCATGCGCAGTGATGCCCCTTGTTAAATTCCGTTACTGTAAAGAATTTTAAATTTTAAACATTTTTTTTAAAAGTCAAATCAAATATCAATAAAGTGGCTTTAAAACATTTCAAACAAAAGTTATTCGAGTTCAAATAAGTTCAAATAATTGCTTTCTAAAAAAATATCACAAATTCCCAGTTATAAATTGCATCATCTATTTTAACATTCATAAGGACACTTGTTTAGATTTGTTTAGAATGTGTCATTTTTACGCTTTAAAAAAAGACACTGGATCCAATAAATTTGTGGAACCCCTCGGGTTCAAACAAGAATACCGCAATCTCGTTTAAAGTCATCAATTCGTAAGTTCTATGGTCAATACAATGAACATGTCAACAAATACAGTCAAACGTAAAGTCAAATGCGGACTGACGTTGTTCATACAAATTGTTAGGCCATTATATACACACTGAATTGTCGACGAATTTCCCCGTTATTTCCCGATCATGATAAGTAGCACACGGCGAGAGTGACTGGTGGACAGGAGATGCTCACTCCTCCATGGCACCTGATCCCACCTTTGATGTTTTGGAGGTCCGTATTTGCTCTGCATCTATTTTGTATTGTTTAAAGGGCTTTGATCTTGTATACTGTTCGTTATCTCCATATGATTCATAATGATTAAATATCAGATCTTGAAAGCATGCAACAAAGGTCAGTTACTAACGACAAAATTTGTAGTTATATGATTTAAGTGTATTTAAACACAGAAAATGTCTGATTATCGGGAAAACCTTGTCATACATTAAATCCTTGGAACAAACACTTAATACAAATCTTGATTTTTCAATGAATGAAGTTTAGTCTTGAAATAACGTAACTGTAAGTAATCTGAATTGTTTCTGAGTATTTTTTTTTACATAAATAGAAGGGAAGGCTATTCAAATTCAGCGTTTTAAATATGGTGTAGATTAAGTGGATCAACAATGTGGCAATTGTTTTAGGCTCGAGTTGCGGAAGTACTGTGTTGATAGCATTGATAACAAGCTAATTCAGAGAATTTGTGTCCCCACTTCAGGAAAAAAGAAGAGCATACGCGGATAGTGGGAGGGGGGATTAAGCAGGGCTTCTCTAGATATCGTGCGAAAACGAAAGAGTTAAAACAGAAAAAAAAATATTACCTTGACTTTTGACCTAAAAATCAATTGGTTTCTTCCTTATGTCACAGAGAATTGTTATTTAATTTCATTGCAAAAGCTCTAAAGCTTTTTGAGATTTTGTGCGGAAACGAATGTGTTACAGACAGAAATACAGACGGACGGACAGACAGACAGGCAGACTGAAATTAATATCTACCTCATTTCTTAATTATCTACACCCTTTAATTTCGAACGAAGAACTATACTTTTATCACCTACGAATAAAGTTAATGTCTCCTTGTCGATTTGACACAAGGGCACTTTCTAAGATTCAAGAATATTAGCAGTCTCTTTTAAAGTAATCATTTCGTAAGTTCTATGGTCGATGCAATGACATTGTCAGCAAATTAAAGTTTTCATTGAGTCAAATGCTTACTGACGTTTTTTCATACTAATTGATAAAGTATTATTTACACACTGAATTGTCAACAGATTTTTCCGTAGTTTTTCGGCCGTGACAAGTAGCACACGGCGGGTGTGACCGGTCATTGGGGGATGCTCACTCCTCTAGGGCTCCTGATCCCACCTCTTATGTTTTTTTAGGCCTTAGTTTTTTCTGCCCCTGCTTTGTATTGTTTAGTAGACTTTTGAGCTTGAAAACTGTTCATTATCTCCATATATTTTCATTTATAATCTTAAATAAACATTTGAGCAAAATAACCATTATCCTCACGCTTTTTTAAAAAACCAGATAAAAGTAAAATAAAATGGTGGCGAAACAGAATATGATCGATTGATTAATTGTATATTGTTTAACGACGAGTTGGCAATATTTCAGCCATATTTTGGCCTTGCGAAACAAAATAAGAAATTATCTTTAAAATGGGATGATAACGAACAGTGAATGTTATTAACAAATCTATAAACAATACAAATTTGTGAAGAGGGCATGAAAACATTGACCTTTTGAAAATCCAGAGGTTGGACCATGCCCCGGGTTCATGAAACATCTTAAGCTTAAGTCAAAATCTCTATTTGATAATAAAATGTTGTAGAAGCCAAGCAGAACAAAATTAAATGTTTTTCAATATTGATTCTCAGAATTGTAGTTAATTGCAAATTTCGAAATGAGTTCAATAATTCATAAATATTTTAAAGGCGATTGAAAATTTGACTTAAGTCTAAGTTTGTTTCATGATCCTGGGGCCAGGTGCCAAGGAGGAGAAAGCATCCCCTTTTGACCGACCCCACCTGGCGTCAGCTCTATATATTGATCGAGTAGACAGAACATTCCGTGGTGACTTTGTTGTTTAATTCCCTCTCAGAAAATTTTCACTCACATGGAGACACCATTATTTGGTGAAGGGAGGCTCGAAATCTGAACCTATACTCGACACTCAGGACCATTGAACAGTGTATGCGCCAAACACATACTGCGACACGGGACCTGAATTTATACCGTCTCCGGTCTCCACGAGACGAAAAGATTAGCTCCTTACTCCTTGATTCTAAAACAGTAGCTCTAACCACTGGGCCACGCGCTCGATTATTTCATGGTGTAATTCAGTTTACAAACAAAAGGCCTAGCAATTGATATGAAACAAGTCAACTAAAAAATGTCCAAAGATAAGTTATACATGAATTTGCTAACAATGTCATTATAAAAACTTTTGATTTACGAAATATCGACTTTCTACGAAATTGTTGAAATCCCTGTAACATCAACCTATCTGTGAGTAGCATGTCTCAATTAAAAACAAATTATCTTACTCAGAGCATACTCTTAGGTAACGAATAAATCAGGAGATATGAACACTATATGCAAATGATATCGAGAAAGTACTCTATAAATACACTTAGGGTAGCAGACGATGATAAAAGATGATAAATAGGTGTGGCTGATTCTGTGGTGTCTTTTATTTCAAGTTCACTGGAACATAGGGAATCGACATATGAATGAAAGCAAGAATTGTTTATGGCCCCAAATGCAAAAACAGACGTTGCCACTGATGAACTTTAAATATATTTATATATCTGTCTACTGACCATGAGGGCTATCCATAGCCCTAAAATTGAACTCTATATCAATCTTAGTCAGACAACCGTTCTGATCCAAATCAAGGTGGTCGAACAGGATGCCGGAAATATGGGGGTTGTCATGGTAATCATGACTCCACTGCTTCACGAACTCTGCTCTTTCCGCACAACCATCTCCTGAAATAGTGTTCTTATAGATAATATTGAACCATTTGGTGTGTTGTTTTCTTAATAGAGGGTAAATACATGTATGTAAAGAATTTGAAATTTTGAGATTACTGCTGACAACAAATGTAAGAAAGTTACCGTCGTGGTCGAATCGAGTGACAATGGAATCAAAAATTTCAGAAATGGTCAGGTTCCCGTCATGGTCCTCGTCGACGTTAGCAGCTACACGGTGTGCGATCTCCTCAAACGTCAGACCGCCAGCTCCAGCACTAAAAATCACCACAAGGAGATAAATATAGTAATTTACAGTTCATGTTAAAAGGTGATCCAACCTCAAGTTTAGTCCATCGTTATTTTTGTGTGTACAATACCAGTATATAATTTCGTTTCAATAAATGACCCACAGTCAAGTTAATTTCATGTCAACAAATTGTTCATAGTCAATTAATTTTATGTAAACAGATAGTTCACAGTTAAGATTATTTAATGTCAACAAATTATCTACAGTAAAGTTAATTTAATTGCCCACAGTCAAGTTAATTTCACGTAAACTAAATGTTTACTGTTAAGTTCATTTTTTTCAACAGATTGAACACATTCAAATTAATGTCTTGTTAACAAAATGTATACATTTAAGTTTATATCTACAGGTTGTCCAAAGTCAGTTGAATTGTTTCTTTTTAAAAATTATACCAGAATTGTGCTAATTAACATTGTATTTCTTAAATAAATGTAAGTTAAAATTGACCCATCAACAAGATTACATTATGTTTAACAATGCTCTTATAAAGAATTTTATATCTAACGATTCTCGAGAGGGACGTTCAACAACATACAATCAATCAATAAATCATATGTAACGTTGTTTTTGCTTCTTCTTTACATGTGTTAACCAGCTGTATAAACGACATCTCGATTAGTTTTCATTTTAAAGACAGATTATCTGTAAATATTGACCTACATTAATGCTCACCATATTTTTGAATAGCTGAAATTGTCAATTTTACTTCTTCCTATAAGAGTTCTTCAATAATCTGGATCAGTAGAAATAAGTGAAAAAAATAGATTAAATACAAAAGCTTACCCGAATACAACAGAAAGAGAGGAGAGAAAGATCAATATCTTTAAAACTGTCGACATTTTCGTGATACAAGTGGAAGTGGTCACCTTCAGCTAAGAGTACGTTACATGATAAGCGCCCACAGTAGCGTTCTTTGTACTGTATTGCACATTGTACAATGTCTGCATGTGTGAGTGCACTCTCCACGTTTTAAGTATATTACATCAATATTAGAATATGTTTGAATTGAAAAGAAAAGCTGGGAGATTTTTTTATCACACAATAATTTGTATGATTCTTAACAATAATTGTTTTAAGTTATGTTAAAATAATTAATGTTTTTTAAATATATAGTACCAATGACGAAATTGCTTATCTTGGAATATTTTTGTCACAAACAAATGGCGGTATAATACATTCCTTCGTTGTTTTTTATTACGAGAGCAAGAGGATGTTTGGCTTGAAATCTTCCAGTAGGTGTCAGGTCTATCTCCAACATGTTTTAAAAATTATATCACTGGATCAGAAATTTTCCAAAGTTTAATTCTATCCTCAGAATTTTATCTCTGATTTTTAAACAAATTCAAATAATTGATAAACACCCTTAAGAAAAAAATAATCGAAATTTCATTAAAACATTTACACGGACACTATTATCATTAATCCAAGCGACAAAAATTGAATCTCCAGTCAGGGGCTCTACCCACTGAGTTATCTTAATATTGGTAAACGACTTTAAGTGAGCAAAAAAAAAAAAAAAACAAAACAAAAAAAACAAAAAAAAAACCCCAACAAAAAACAACAACAACAACAACAACAACAACAAACCCTTCGAGTAGTGATGAAACATAGCAGTACCACGTAAAAGTGAATACAAATGTCCAATCTTTGTTTGAGTGCCAGGACAATGCAGAAATAGGTGGAAAGTGGAATACTTTCTTTCTAATAATGTCCATGATTGTACCGGGTATTTCTATAATCGAGGAACATGTTAATTAACATGTTAACATCGTTAACGACATCATATGACTGTATCCAAGAAATGTTAGCTCACATAGAAATAAATAAATGTATGTACTGTATGCGGATTTTAAGTAGTTTCAACTTTAAGAGATTGTCTAATTCCATTTAACAGTTGATTCAAAAGGGGTTTGAACTACATGTAAGTAAACGAGAAAAAAACCAACATTTGAAAGAATGCAGATGAAATTTAGAACTTTTTCAAAAATTAAAAATCTGGGAAGTCAAATTTCCATACGTCAGAACGTTACACATTGAAATAATTCTATTCTAACCTCATTTTATATTTAGAAGGGGTTGTAAAAATGATTTGAGGATTTAATGCATTAATATTATCCTAAATTGTATATCAATGATGTAATTTTTTGATAAAAAATATGTAAATATACCATAGTTCATTTTAATATCAGAAAAGTGTAGCAATTCAAAAAAAATTATCTGAAATTTATACTTAAAATTCTTTGATCAACTAAATTCAAACCTTTGATTGACTATAGTGAACTATTGTATACTATTGTTAAATATAGTACTTTTTTGTTAGGAAAGGATGAAAAATAACTATTGTTATTTGACAATAAGTCGTCGATATATCTAAACGTCAAGTTGAAGGCCAAAGCAAGTGTTTCTTCTTTTCAATTAAGATTTTGAACAAATTCTGCTTCATATGAATTTAAATTGGAATTCAAATAGATTGTTGGAAGACCTGGTCTCCAAAAACCAATCAGAAATTCGGGCATCTTTTAAATATAATCTTCAGAGTATTTTTTTGTACAATAGGAATAATTTTTAAAATCATAAATATATATGAAATTCTTTAAAAATTTCATTTTTATGAATTTTAAGTTTATGTAAAATAAAAACCCATCTTTGTTGGTAAAAATATTTAATATTTTATGAATGAAAATTACGTTACTACATAACCTTTTTTGTTCATATCCCATGAAGCATTTACATGCGTGCATTGAAAATTTCTTTTAAAAAATGAGAAAAGGATGGTATAAATACAAAGAAAACATTATATAAATTAAAATGAAAGTTGAATGTATTCTGTCAACATTGACATTGTATTAAAATTACAGATAAGTGATATTCTAAATACAGGCACGTAGCATCGTTTTTGAAAGTGGGGGGGGCCAACCTGAGAAAAAATTTTTTTTACTCACCTGAAAAAGTTGACAAGCAAAAAAAAAAAAAAAAAAAAAAAAACGAAAATTAAAAGTTGCCCAAACTCGAAAATCCTATTTCGTGGGGGGGGGGGGGGGGGGGGGGGGGGGGGTTGTTTGTTTGTGTTCTTTGAACAGTTTAAGGGGATTCTGTCAAAACGTATCTGGAGATGATGTTTGCAGCTTTGGGTAAGTGAGACATTACGTACCAGTATGTCTTAAAGGGTTGATAACTATTTCTTATCTTTTAGTATTGAAAGAACTTAGAAATTGCATTTATTTTAGAAATATCCGTGTATGCTGTACGGGTTTCAAAGCTGTCGGTAACAGGTGTGTTGGTAGGTACTTTTGATGACGACAAGAAAGTTGAAATTATACATATTCTGTTTCCAGAGTATTCTTGGATTAAAATACACATAACATAAGTTAAACTGTACGTGGATTTTTAACGATTCAAGGTTTTAGGCATGGGGAATGAATCCGAATGTTATTAAAAAAAACTAATACACTGAAAACTAAAATCAACAAAATAATTGCATTATAAATGATAGTTTAGTGATATAAAATTTTTAGAATGTGATCCGGGGTACCGGGGTTATAATTGTTCCTTACCCTGTCCACCCAACCACTACGGACGAAGATGCAAGCGGCGATGTGACTGTGCACCTTACCAATATTGTGATAAAGAAAAGGGGTGTTTATCACGTAAGTAGTTAAAGTACAGATTCTGACGGGTGGGGGTTAAATTTTGTTTGCATTCCTTGTTTTCATACATTACAAAAACAAATAAAATGTACTGCGGTTTTGCAAATTAAAAGAATGACGGTTCTAGCAAAGACATTTAACATTAAAAAAAGGATAGCTGAAATCGGAATTTTGCAAATGGACATTAAATAGAAGCAGTATCAATCTTACTAAATCTCATTCTTTTACCACAAATAATAAATATGAACATCTATCATCCATTATAATATGATTTTGTGTGACAATGAACTGTATTCTTGCAGGATATCATTGAAATGAAAGGTACATATTGACGCGAAAATTAACAAAAATGCCAAATTGAATTTAAATAGCTATTTTCACTGTATCTAGAAATGAGACAGTTTTCGTTTTATAATTTTATAATGTTAAAAAAAAAAAATCAGACTTTTTTTGTCAGGATCACAGGCACTTAAGTTATGAACCCCTCCCATGTCCCTCAACCATTCCATTCTTTTGAAATAAGGGATCGTCACAATCTTTTTATTTTTGTTTTCGTGTATTCTTTTACTAGTATTAATTACGTGTTATTTTTTAAGAAACCTCTCTCTGCCCTGCACACTAAAGAGTTCTGATTCTATGGAAAAGTTGTGCAGTAAGAGTTATCTGCCCTTAGATCTAAATCCCAATAAATAGAAATTTACAATATAGTGTTCAATTTGTAATCAATTAAGGCATATTAATATTTTAAAAGGCAAGGATAAATTTATTGAACATATTATTCACATCTTCTCTCCACAGAATTGATTTCTGTTTACTGATACTATGTTGTGTTTGAACATTTTTCCTGGGGGTAAATGCCACGTACCATTAGATAAATAAGCTCAATATTTACATCTCTATTCAACACAATTTTCACAAAACATTTTTCTTTCTTCTTTTCATTTTTAAGTGCTTCTGGTGCCTTCCGTGTATCAAATACGTGAACCCGTTTTGTTCAGACTGATTAAACTAAAAGCAACTGTTAAGTTGACAGTCCTGAAAGATCTGAAATAATTTAATCTAATCACTTGAATTAATTTTTCAACGACATTAAATGCGTTTTATCCCATCTTTAAAAAACAAAATCTGTACGAGCTCTTGGCCTAGAAATATTGAAAAGATATTTTTTTTTATGAATGTTTTAATTAAAATGTATTTAATTTTCATGACATCGATGAAAATACCAACGTTCATGTAACACTCGGTCGCTTTCACCTCCAATGTCTAAAGTCTACTTGAAAAAAAAATTTGGACATGTACGTCAGATCTAGGATCTTGTTGTATTTATTTTGGAAATTAATTAATTAATTAATTTTGATTTTTGTACATATCAAAATTCATAAAAACCAATCCCATAAAATAATGCATCAAGTTAAATTTTAACTTCCTTACAGAAGTTAAAAATAAAACGATTTAATACGGATCGTTAAAAGTGTTTGATACATTTCATAACCTTTTGTGTATGAGCAATATGACGTAGAACTAAATGCATAGATAAAGAACAGTAATAAAGCTTAAAAGTCCATAATTTGAAACCATACGGATCGAAACCAGAACAAACACGGACTTCAGGTGTCACGGAGGAGAAAATAACCTCATAACTTTGAAAAAAAAGCAGTGCACATTCGAATAAATAATATATTGCATTCTTTGACAATAGCATTGTTTGTATTTTTAGATATTGAGAAATGTTTACTTAAACGAGGCAGATGATATTATTGTTTCATCAACTTATTTGTAGTTTACAATGTACCTCGTTTCAGAAATGTTCATAATGTATGCTCTTGCGTTTTGAATCAACTGGAATAAATAAACGCCATATGCAGGATATCAGCTTAGATTTTCTTAAATGAGATAAACTGTTGAAAACAAATAAACGAATAACGATTATGAATAAAAATATGGAGAATCAGATAACGAACAGTATTCCAGATCAAAAGTCCATAAAACAATACAAAATAGGAACAGAGCAAACACGGACCTCCGAAACATCAGAGGTGGGATCAGGTGCCATGGAGGAGTGAGCAACCGGTCACATCTGCCGTGTGCTCCTTGTCATGATCGGAAAATAACGGTAAAAACCCTTCGTCAATTCAGTGTATAAATAATGGACTAACAATTAGTATGAAAAACGTCAGTCAGCATTTGACTCAATGATAAATTGTATTTGCTGACAAGGTCATTTTATCGACCATAGAACTTAC